AAATAACTAGATTTATCGAAATAACTTAAAATATAAAAAAAGAAAATAACACAAAATCTTGAAAATAACTCGATTCATCAAAAATAACTTGAAATCTCGAAAATAACTCGACATTTCTGAAATAACTCGATATATAAAAAATAACTTAAAATCTTGAAAATAATTCAATTTATCGAAATAACTCAAAAATATTGAAAATAAATATATCGATAATATCTCGAAAATAACTATATATTGAAAATAACTCGATATTTAAGAAATAACTTGAAAACATAAAAATATCTGGATATATCAAACTCGATATATAAAGAAATAATTCGAAATCTTGAAAATAACTCGATTTATCAAAATACCTCAAAATATAAAAAACGAAAATAACTTTATATATCAAAAATAACCCGAAACTTTGAATATAACTCAATATATAAAAAATAATTCGAAATCTCGAAAATAACTCGATTTATTAAAATAACTGTAAATATAAAAAACGAATATAACTCGAAATCCTAAAATTACTCGATTTATCAAAATAATTCAAAATATAAAAAACGAAAATAACTCGAAATCTCGAAAATAACTTTACATATCGAAAATAACCCAAAATTTTGAATATAACTCGATATATCAAAAATAACTTTAAATTATGAAAATAACTAGATTTATCGAAATAACTTAAAATATAAAAAAAGAAAATAACACGAAATCTTGAAAATCACTCGATATTTAAAAAATAACTTGAAATCTCGAAAATAACTCGATGTATAAAAAATAACTCGAAATCTCGAAAATAACTCGATTTATCGAAATAACTCAAAATATAAAAAACGAAAATAACTCGAAATCCTAAAATTACTCGATTTATCAAAATAATTCAAAATATAAAAAACGAAAATAACTCGAAATCTCGAAAATAACTTTACATATCGAAAATAACCCAAAATTTTGAATATAACTCGATATATCAAAAATAACTTTAAATTATGAAAATAACTAGATTTATCGAAATAACTTAAAATATAAAAAAAGAAAATAACACGAAATCTTGAAAATCACTCGATATTTAAAAAATAACTTGAAATCTCGAAAATAACTCGATGTATAAAAAATAACTCGAAATCTCGAAAATAACTCGATTTATCGAAATATAGCTCAAAATATAAAAAAAAACAAAAATAATTCAAAATCTCAAAAATTACTCGATATATCGAAATAACTCGATATATCGATAATTATTTGACACATAGTAAATGAATCGATATATCGAGAACAATGCGATACATAGAAAATTGAAAAATACAAATAAAATAATTCGATATATCAATATTAATTAGGTTAAATCGAGATTAAATCGATATATTGAGATATTTTATTTTTAAATTTATTGAATAGCCAAGTGAATAAAAAAGAGGAAGGAATGCGAGATTGTATGAAGGGATATAAAAAAAAGAGAGTTGCGAGGCGCAGGGGAGATTAAGAGGAAGCCACTGTCGTTCTCGAGTTTGGAATTAGTTATTGGTTTAATTAATTTTCTAGGTAGGCAGAAGCCCTTGATAATATTGTATATGTTGGTAATTCTGTGAGAATGAAAGAGAGAGAGAGGGAGGGAGGCCAGTGGTCATCGTATATCGAATTTTCCATACACTGTCTATATCGAACAACTTTGTTGTAAAATTTAGTTTTTTTTTAAATTTATTTTTCTTTCTATTTTTTTCTCTTATTTTGCAACTACTTTCTTTCTTTTTTTTTTGAACGAACACACTTATGTGGAAAAATTCCAACTCAAATACCTTTATCATTCTATTTTGTTGGTATGATGAAAACAAACGGGGAGCGCGAAAATTATTAAAATTCTTGCTTTTAAGTTTTTACATTAAAAGTTAAGATAAAAAAAGGAGAATAAAAAAAATAAAAAATATTCGCATAGTGAAAGAAATTTTTTATTATAAAAATTTTTATTTTCAATTTTTTGTATTTATTTACTTAAAATTATTATTACATTATTATTATATTTTTTAATTTATTTATTTATATGTATGATAATAATTATAATAATAATAATAATAATAATAATAATAATAATAATACCTAATAATTATTGTTATTGTTTTTAGTTTTTAATTATTTTAATTTGTTTTTTTTATTCTTATTCTTATCATTATTATAGTAATTTTAATAATAATACCTAAAATTATAGTTATTATTGTGGTTGTTTCTATTTTTTATTTTTATAATTATTTTAATTTGTGTTTGTTATTTTTATTATTATTATTATTATTATTATTATTATTATTGTAAATATAATTTACATGCTTTTAGTATTTTTCTTTTCCAATGATTTTTTATTAATTTACTGTTTTTTTAACAACTTTTGAATTTTTTCTGTTCATTAATATTTATTGTTATTAATATTTATTATTTATTTAATATTAATATTTATTGTTTATTTTTTATTTCAAATTATTTGTTATTAACATACTGTTTTTTTTATCAAATTTTGAATTTATCTGTTCATTAAAATTTATTGTTTATTTAAAAATATACTTATTTAGAAATATAAAATTATTATTTCTATATTATTTGCATTTTCTCAATTTTTCGCGACTCATTATAAAACAATTTTTACAAATTTCTGTACCATTATAGTATGCACGATCATTGAAGTTATATCACATAAAGTCTCGACAATTGAAGCTAATACAATGTCGATTACGTCATAAAATTACTGACAATTAAAATCTTTAGAATTCAATTACCACTTATTTTTTTCTTTATTTTTTGACTCCTTTATATATAAATTTATTTATATTTAGAAATATGTCACTAAAGTTACGTGAAAATATTTTCTAACAATTTTAACAATATAGTTTTATTTTGTTACTTATTTTCTTTCTTTCACTTCAATTTAAAATGTAGGTAATTTAGCACGGACATGAACCATTTTTTGAAAATAAAAACTGTATGGTCGGCAATAATGGTTCTTCAATCGATAATAATGGTATTTATGTCGGTAACGAAGCATTATTTAGAAAAAAAATAAAAACAGTCGGTAAAGTCGGTAAAAATAGTTCTACAGTCGATAATAAAACTGTAGATGTTGATAACAAATTTTTATCAAAAATTTAAATCATTATTCTCGGTACCTCAAGGTCCCGGATGGAATATTTAACAATTTAGCCCGGACTCGAACCTTTTTTTTGAAAATTAAAATTGTAGCGTCGGTAAGAATACTTAGTCGGTAATAAAACTATCGACGTCGATAACACGTACATTTCTATCAAATATTCAAAAACCATTATTGTCGGTAACTTACGGTTTTAGAAAGAAATTTAAATAATTTAGCAAGGACACGAACCTTTTTTTAATATAAAAATTTCGTCGTCGGTAATAATAGTTTTTCAGTCGATAACAAATCAATTTACATCGGTAACATTTCGAGCCATTCAGCTTTGTAATTTAACACCATGGAGATAATTCAAAAACTATTTAGCACAGAAACAAACCGTCTGTATGCAAAAATTTAAGTGTCGGTAAAAATGTACCTTCAGTCGATAAAGAAAACAATATGTCGGTAAAAATTTCTTCTTCAAAGAAAAATAAATCTTAATATTTATGAATTAATTTACCATTGACAGAGTCATTTTTCAGAAAATATTACCAACAGTCGGTAAAGTACCATTTTAGGACAAAGTACCATTATTAATAAAAACTGATTTCGTCAATAAATAAATTACCAACAGACAATCCTGGCAATCAAGAACACTATAAATTTACTAAAAAAAAATCATTACTAACTTAAAGAAAGTAATAAAAATGGTAAAATTATATTGTCGGTAAAGTAGAATTTTGTTAAAAGAAACTGTTTTATCGATTGATAATAATAAAAACGATGAAAACAAATATAAAATGAAGGGTAACTTTTTTTTAATGGCTCGTTGGAGTAAGAAAAACGGCAACTGACGAAAAAAAAAGATAAGGATCTCTTCTCCAATGGTAAGCAAGAAGTTGGTTTGAGGTTTAATGGGTTGTTGTGGGAGGTGGGCGGAAATGGAGGTAGAAAAGAGTCTCAACAGAAAGAGTTCGATGCACTTTTCTTGAGCAAACAGCTCGATATGAAGTTAGGTTCTTAAAGCTCTCCTTTTTGCCCTCTCAGATTTCAATGCCTTATACATATATATATACGTACATATACACATCGTTTATATCGTGATAAAAATATTTTTTTTATCTCGTTCTGCGTTTCCTTTCAAACACACAGTAGGTCTTTATCACTTTGGCAAATTTGTTCGCTTCCCCTCGTATATAAAAAATTTTTTTTTACCCAAAAAGTGCTTATTTGATTCATTAAAAAAATAAATTTTTAAAAAAATCATACTTTTTTTTCGACTAATTTTGTAAAAATAATTTTTGTTTTAAAACTAATTTTTTTTAAACTATTTTTTTAAAAGTAATTTAAATGTTACAACTAATTTTTTTAAAACTATTTTTTTAAAAGCAATTTTAATGTTACAACTAATTTTTTAAAAAATAATTTATATTTTAAATTCAATGTTATAAAAATAATTTATTTAAAAAGAAAATATTCTTTCAATTTATTTAGAAAAGAATTTTTTATTAATTTTATTAATTAAATTTTACTTTGAAAATTAAATATAGTTTCATATAATTAAAATTAAAACATTCTAATTTCGTTAATGATGTCTTAGAACATTTTTTTTTAAATAATTGTCAAATTATAATTAAATAAATAGATTTCCTTTAATTTTTATATTGCCATCAATCGGTAAAGTGGATAACAATTTTATCGACCGTCGGTAATGTAGAAAACCTTTTTTTTTAAGTTAAAAATTGCTGTATTTAACGAAAAATATTTCTTCGGTAATAATTATAATTAATATTTTAATAAAAAATAATGATAATCTATTAATTAAGGTGTAACGAAAAATAATTTAAAAAATAATTAATTTGTTATTAAAAAAAAAAATTTTTTCTTTTTGTTACAGAACGAAAACTTTTTGTTGGTATGCTTTCGAAGAAGTACACGGAAAATGATGTACGAAATATGTTCGGCGTTTTTGGTACAATTGAGGAATGTTCTGTATTACGTGACAATGGACAAAGCAAAGGTTGCGCATTCGTGACATTCTCCAGTAAACAGTCGGCCATTAATGCAAGCAAGACCCTTCATCACTCCCAAACAATGGAGGTGAGTGACTAAAAAAAAAACTATATTTCCTCTTTTTCTTTATTTTTGAATAATAAATTTAAATCATTATTGGCTGAGGAGAAAATGAAAATTATTTTTTGTCGATAAAGTAGATCCTTCTTTTTTAATTATATTAATTTTATTGTAAAAATTAGGAACCATTTTTATTTCTCTTGTGAAAAGGAAACATAAACGAAAAAAAGAGATTTTTTTTATTGATTAATGGTAAAGTAGATCACATTTTTATCATCAGTTGGTATAACAGAAAATACCAATTGAATGTTTTCAAATTCAGTTAAAAGAATATACCTTTCTTCAGAGAATAAAAAGAAAGATTTAACAGGTATTTTTAACTTCAATTGATAAAGTAGATCACATTTTTATCGACAATCGGTAAAACAGAAAATACATTTAATTGAATATTATTATGTTATTCACAAAAATAACTTTTACTGAAAAAATTAAGTCCTTTAAGCAAAAAAAAAATATTTTTTTCTTTAGAAACACTTTTTAAATTATATTTCTACTATTATCATAAAAGCATAAAATTTATTCTTCCATAAATAAAAGTTTTAAATTGAAGGCATTAAATGTGGATTTTCATTTTTTTTCTATTGTTGTGTAAAGCTTTTTGCATCACAGATAGCGGACATTGGCCAGGTGCCAAAATGTTCAATATAACATTTGTACATTCACGCCTCGACTACTCACCTCCCAGTAATACTAAATTAGCTTTTAAACAAAAAATCGAAAAAAAAGAAAAACGAAAAAAAAATCATTGACTCTCGAACAATGTCTTCTTGAAATACACAATTGACCTTTACTTTTAGAATTTTATTTCGATGTATAAAAATAAATTTTTTCACTATTTCAATTAGCTTTCCATTGTATTTTTTTTTTTTTTTGAAAATTTAAAAATTGAATTTTTTTTATTTTTCTTCAAATTCAAAGATTAATTTAACATTAGCAAATATAAGAGAAGGGATTTTTTTCTATAATATATGCTGTCGATAAAGTAGATATTTGCTTTAATTGGTAAAGTAAACAATATATTTATCAACAATCGACAAAGTAAATTACATATTTAGAAGAAAATAAATTTTTTAAAATTTATAATATTTTTTCACATTTTTTTCTAAATTCTTAAAATTAATAATTTTCATCTTTTTTTTCCTCTTTGTACAAACACATGATTGGAGACAAGTTCATTGCTAATGGGATTACATCTAATTCAAATGTCGAAATTCACATTGCAGTGCCAAGGCGAAAAATAGTCTCAGTTGCAATTTCATTTTAATATCATGAATATTTCCAGCTATGAGAGTTCCTCGAACTCACTCGACCCAATATGACAACGTTCAACTTCGTTTCAACCATTTTTAACGTTTTCAAACATTTTTCCAAATCCAAGATCAAATTCCATTTAAATTTCAAAGCTTGTGTGAATATTTTTTTTTAAATGACAAAAAGAAATTTTTAATGTAAATTTTTAAATAATTTTTTCTTTTTAAATATTTGTGGTAAAATTTGTTTCTATTTTTTCATTATCGATAAGGAAGATTACTATTTTATTGACAGTCGGTAAAAGGTATTTTCCAAAAAAGAATTGTAAAATATTATTTACCTATAAAATAATAACTACCGATAACAAAAAAATACCTGTTATCGACGGTCGGCAATGAGAACATCTATTTTATCATCAGTCGGTAAAACTCTTTTCTCTTTAATCTCAAAGAGTCGTAAAGTATTAAAAATGTCAATATTTGTAAAATATTATCCATCTATTAAAACATTATCTATCATTAATGAAAAGAACTATTATCGAAAGTCGATAATTAGGACTACTATTTTATCATCGGTCGTTAAAATGTTTTTTTTCCTTTTAACATTAAAAAGGGTAAGGAATGTAAAATTTCGATTATCGTACAAGTCTATTGATAATAGAAAAACCATTATCGACAATCGGTAATGAAGATCACTATTTTATCGTCAGTTGGTAAACGATTTTTTTCTTAAATTTTGAAATAATTGTAAAATATTATCGAAATTTTTGTTATTTTTATTTTTTTTTATTATTTTTTTACAATGAGAATGTTTTCTTTCAAAACGAGATAAAAATATATTCCAAAGAAAAATTTAAAAAAAGAATAAAATTTTATTATAGAAAATGAATTTTTACATTTTTTCCTGACCTGGAGAAATTAATGAAAAAAAAGGAAAAGAAAGTAGTTGAAGAAAAATTAAAAAGAAATGTTAAGAATACTTTTCTCGCTTGCATCATCATTTTTTAAGGGACGTCCCGTCGACCGTTGCATATAGTTGACGTGAGATTAAACTTTTCTGGTCCTTACTTTGCTATTCCATTTCGTCCCGTGCAATAGTCATGATGCACTTGGAGAAATGTTGAGAGGAGAGAGAGATCCTTTCACCAAACCACTTCTATACAGTTATATGCAAAGCTTGGGAAAAACGAAACGGTAGCGAGAATTTCATGTGACTCCCGGAGAATCTCGAAAAATCACCCAATCAAACTGTAAATCTTGACTTTTATACTCTCTCTCTCCTTCTTTTTTTTTTCTCTCTCCCTCTCTTTACCTATTTTATTTCATCGATTTTAAATATTTACATTCGTTTTTATTGGGGCACGAAACATTTTTTCTATTTAATTTTGTTAGAATACTTATTTATTTACGATTTTAATGCTAAATGACCAATACCGATAGTCGATAAAATAGAAAACTAATTTACCAACAATAAAATTTTTTATTTCATTAGAATATTTATTTATTTAGAATTTTTCAATTTTATTTTTTAGTAAAAGTTTACTTATACCGACAGTCGATAACGTGGAAAACTATTTTACCAACAGTAGAAAATTCATTTCGTCAAAATTCTTATTTTTTTGAAGTTTAATGTCAAATGTACTTATACCAATAACCGAGAACATAGAAAACTACTTTACTAACAGTAAACAGTTTAATTTCGTTAAAATTTCTATTTATTTTGAAGTTTCATGCAAATTGCACTTATACCGATCGTCGATAATGTGGAAAACTGATTTACGAAGAGTACAACTTTTTTTTATTTCATTAAAATACTTATCTATTAACGATTTTTTAATTCACTTTTATATTTAGTGAAATATTGACTTATACCGATAATCGATAAAATAGAAAACTACTTTACCACTATACAAATTTAATTTTGTTAAAATTCTTGTTTGTTTTGAAGTGTAATGCAAAATACACCTATGCCGATGGTCGATAAAGTAGAAAACTAATGCATTAACAGTAGGTAAAGAACTATCACCGTCGGTAATGTAGAAACCTGTCGAAAAATTATACACAGAAATTAAAAAAAAAATGCAGTGGCACTTAGTTTATACCTAAAGAATTTAAATTCTATAAAAAATTTGTTATTATCACTAACAGTCTTTGAGAAAACCAGTCGAAAAAATAAAAAATTGCTAAAAATCATTTTTTTCCTCTAAGTTACCAAATTCAAACTTGAGAACCACTGTTTCTTTTCAATTTCCATTTAATAGAAGAAAAAAATAGTATTCCTTCATAATAATAAATTTTCACTGAATTACTTTTTCCTCTATTGACAATAATTTATATTTAGACACCAAAAAAAAATGAAAGAAAAATTTAACTATTAAAACACGTAATGTTAAGCAAAGTAGATAGAATTGAAAAAGAAAAAGAAAAATTGTTCTCACATCATTTTTCGTAATTGGTTTTCTCCAAAGGGTTACTATATAATATAAGGAGGAATACATATACGGATCTTTTATATTCTCCTCCCCCCTTTCTTCCTCCTCCTCAGCCAATGGTATGAAAATCTCATAAGGTCGAAAGTTATGGGTACTTACGGTATTCCAATTTAACGAACGAATTCTCTCTCAAACTTGGTATATATCTATATATGTGTATGTGTGTGTCTGTATGTTTTTAGGGCTGCTCGGCACCTCTAGTCGTAAAATTCGCGGATACGCAAAAAGAAAAGGAGCAAAAGAGAATGCAACAAATCCAGGCGAATCTCTGGAATATTGCTGGTGTCAATATGACGCCACACTATCTAACGACAACGGTAAGTCAAAAAAGAAAAAAAAATTTTATATTTACCCGATTTTTCCTTTTTTAAATATTGTAGAAAAAAATTACAAATTTTGAAAAAAAATAATATTGTAATTATTTTTGTTTATATTCACAATTTAGAATTATTTGAGCAAAAAATGTATACCGACAACTGGTAAAAGAGAAAACTGTATTATCGTCAGTCGGTAATGAAGATAACTCTTTTATTAACAGTCGGTAAATGGTTTTTTCTCTCTTAAAAATTAAAATAATTGCAAAGTACCATCTAATTATAATAAAACTATTATTTTGTGAAATAATATTTATACCTACAGTTGCTAAAAGAGAAAACTGTATTATCGTCAGTCGGTAATAGACAATTATCAACTTTTTCATGGCTCTTCTTTTTTATTTTTACATCAAATGACGACACAGTTACAAAATATTTTGTTTTTCCTTATTCGAGAAATTCCCCACTTTTTTTAATTGTTATCGACATTCGATAATGAAGATTACTTTTTTTTATTAACAGTCTTTAAACGACAATCGATCATGCAGACTGTTGTCGACGACTATAACACTGAAAAGAAAATCCATTATCGACAGTCGATAATGCAGACTGTTACTTTACCAGCAGTCGGTATGTTTTCTTACCATCGGTTGATAATTTAAAAAAATTTCCAACAGAATGAAGCATTGGCGCCTACGTCGCTGCAGCTTTTACAGCAATTACAAGCGACGTCAAGTGCAGCAACGCCTGTGGCCGCTAATGCCGGTGCAAATGCACTTTCAAGTGTACAACATCAATTACTTCTGCAGCAACATTTGGGTCTTGGTGCTGCAACAGCGGCAACAGCAGCGCCCGCTGCAATACCAACACAACCGGAAATAAGTCCGGCAAATTTACAAAGTCTCGCGACACTTGCGTCATTGAGCAATAGCGCCGGTGAGTATGGTTAGTATCTCTCAAGCTTCTTATTTTATTATTTTCTTCAAATTTATATTTAAAAAAAAGAAACAAAGAATCATTTTTTTCTGTTAAAATTCATTTTTTTGTAATAAAATTAATCTTTTTTGTTTAAATTAATTTTTTTTTTAATTGCACTTTATAATTTTATTATCGACGGTACTTGAAAAAGGGAACTTCTTTACCGGCTGTAGGCAGAAAAAGAATTTCTTTACCGAAATGAGTTTCCTTGTAGGTAAAAGGAAACTTTGTTTGCCTACTGTAGGTAAAAAAGGAACTTCTTTACAGCTGTTGGTGAAAAAGGGAATTTCTTTACCGATTGTAGGCAAAATGAAATTTCTTTACCGATTGTATTTTATTGTATATAATTTCTTTTCCAACAGTCGATAATGATAATATTTTTACTGTTACTAAATGAACTATTGTTTATTGTTCCCTTTTCTCTTGTTCTCTAAGTGTAATATTTTAGGTAAAACCGTAAAAGAGAAAAGAGTTTTATCAACAGTCGGCGGATAAAAGTTAAATTATCGACTGTAGATAAAGAAGAAAACTGATGTACCAACAGTCGATAATATTTATTTTTTAATTTATTGTCAGTCGATAAATTTGTATCTTTACTTACTTGTCACTAAACGTCAAATTAGATTTAAAAAACACTTAAAAAAACATTTTCAAATAAAATTTAATTTCACTATACTAATCAATTTTGAAAATTTTTTTTTGTATTTTTATTTGCAAACATGAATATTGTTTTATTTTTTTCTATTATTCAACATAAACGTTTGGGAAACGAAACAACTGAACAATAGATTTAATAATAGGGTATTTATTATTTTTCTTTTATTCTTATTTTACAGCAAACGCCGGTGTCACGCCAATGAGTGTGCAAAATCTTGTGACCCTAGCAGCGATGACAGGCGGAAACGGTAACCTTCAAGTTTCGCCAAACAGTGAGTAGAACAAAAAAATTAAAAAATAAAAAAAAATTTATTTTTATTCCTAAATTTTATTTTTTTAATTAAAAATATTTTTTCCATTTTGAACATTTCTACGTAATAAAATATTTTCAATAATCAAACATTTTTGTGTTTAAAAACAAATCGATGCATCGAAATATTGACTTTTAATCGAATCGAGATTAATCGAATTGAAATCAATCGAAAAAAAAATTCTGTGATTCAAACTGTATTTGATATATCGAATTATTTTAATTTTTTATTATTTATTTAATTATTTATTATACAAAAAACTATTGAAATATCAAAATATTCGACATACCGAAACTATCGATATATCAATATTATTAAAATATCGAAACTATGAATTCATAAAATATTTGCAACGTTAAAATATACGAAAAATGAATCGAAAAACTATCGAAATATTAAACTTTTCTTTTTATTAAAACTATCCAAGTATCGAATTTCCTAATTTATCGAAACTATCGATTTATCGAATTTATCGATTAGTGAACACTATTGAAGTATCAAATTTTGTGAAATATTGAAATATTGAATTTCTTTTTTTATTGAAACGCAATCGAAGTTTCGAACTCCGCAAAATATCAAAACTATCGAAGTATTAAATTTTTTGTTTTATCGAAACTATCGAAGTATCGAATTTTTCAAAACTTAAAAACTATCGAAGTACTGAATTTTTCCATTTATCGAAACTATCGAAATATTTAATTTCTCGATTTGTATAGAATTTATCGAAATTTAAAAATCTATCGAAACTATCGAAGTATCGAATTTCTCGATTTTTCGATATTTTTGTAAAAATAGTAAATTTTTTTAATATAATTGTAATTTTTTGACTTTTTTAGTGTTTTTTTTGTCTAATAATTAATTTTTTTTTATACAGAGAAAATTATGTGTCAGTAATTATTATAATTTTTTTTTCCAATGATTTTAGGATAATTATAATAATATAAATGAATACAATGTTTCAGCGCTAAGTGGATTGGCGAATTCTTCAGCAGGTATGTCGCTATGTACGTGTCGCATTGCCTGGTACAGTATTAACCATTACTAAATTAGTTTCTAACCTAATTTTCGTCGACTTCTAACTTGTAACGACGATCTCACCAATTATTGCGAGCTTTCAACCTCCCCCTCGAAACCCTGTCCCCCTCTTTCTCCTTTCTATGCCACCATCTCATTCCCTCCCAACCCATTGAAATCTTCCCAATTCGCGACTTCGTTGAAAATTCAATTTAACAAATAGTTTCACTCTCTCTATCTCTGTCTCTCTCTCTCTCTCTCTTCTTTCACTGATGAATGAATAATTATCTCTCAATCAGAAAATAATTTAATTTCCACTTATTTTAATTTGAAAAGAATTTAATTTGATTTATTTTCAATTGTAAATTTTAGTAATTAATTTTTATTTTGTAATTTTATTTTTGTTTTCATTATTTTACTTACATATAAATTAATTTTTTTCTAATTTGAATTTGAATTTTAGTTTTTACTTTCATTTTTTTAATTATTTGTCAAAATATTTTTCAATTTAATTTAAAACATTTTTTTAAACATTTTGTTTCATTAATACGAATTATAAATAAAGAAAATAATGAAAAATAGTAAAAATAATAATAATAATAATAATAGGTAATAATAAACAATAATAATAAATTATAATAAATAACAATAATAGATAATAATAAATAAATTAAATTCATTATTATCAATATTAAAAAAATTAAGTTAAAAAAATTCGAAAAAGTAACATTTTTATTAAAATTTTTAAAATACATTTTTTTATAAACTATATTTTCAAGTGGAATTAAATGTATTTTGTTATGCAAAATGAATAAAACTTAAACGCATTATTAATTAGTTATTAATATTAATTATTAGTTAATTAATTTATATTTATTAGACAATATTCATGTTTCTAACTAAATAAAAAAATAAATAAATAATAGTTAATTAATATTAAGTAGGCAATATTAATTAATTATTATTAAGTAGACAATATTAATTAATTATTATTAATTAGATAAAATTAATTAGTTAATATTAACTAGTTAATATAAGTTAATTATTATTTTTTTTAATTCAATTAATTCTTTTTATTAATTTTAATAATTTTTCTAATTAATTATTTAATTTAATAAGTATTTTTATCGTTCTATAACACTGAAAAGTTAATTTATTTGATTAAAATAACAAATTACTTGTCTATTGGCAAAGAATAAATTACTTTGAATAAATTTTTATTTTTTTTTAAATAAATTTTTTCAGTGTATTTATATTAGAAAAATTGGTATTTTTAAATTCTCAAGAATTAAAAAACGAAAACTCAGTGAATTAAAATTAAAAAATATAATAGAATTTATTAAATAAATATAAAAAAGTGACTAAGTAAATGTAAAAAAAGTTACTAAATAATTATAAAAAAAAGTTACTAAATAAATATAAAAAAGTTACTAAATAAATATAAAAAAAGTTACTAAATAAATATAAAAAAAAGTTACTAAATAAATATAAAAGTAAATAAATTAATAAATATAAAAGAAAGTTTAATAAATAAATAAAAAAACAGTTAATAGAAATAAATAAATAATAAAAAATAGTTAATAAACTTTATTTAACAATAAGTAACAATTTAGAGAAAACGAGAGACTATTTTCCCTCTTTCCTTTTTTTAAACAGAATATTATCTAGAATTTAGATTTATAGAAGTAGTTTTCTTTATGTAGAAAAAAAATTAGTTTTTATAAAATTTAAAAGAAATGTCTTTTAACAAAATTTTGTTTCTTTCTTTTTTTCTACCCTTAAAATGGGAATAGCTGCCCTTTTAGGAAAAACTGCAAATACAGGTGAGAAAAAAAAATTGTAAAAAAAAATGGTTGTTTAGTTCTTTTATCCTCAAGTTGTTTATAATGTATTCCTAAAAATGCTAATTTTTTTTCTAAAAAGAAAGCTGCTTGTATAGAATTTTCGTTTTTCCTTAATATTCGTCTATTATATGTTTTAATATTAATAATTTATTTACTACCGAATTTTTTAAAATAATAAATTTATATATATATATATAGTACCTACTTCGAACCGTAAATGTTTGTTTAAACAATATAATAAACAAATTTATATTATATTATATTACATTATATTACATTATATATAATATATAATTATAATATAAATAAATACGTATTTATATATTTTTTATAATATTACATAATATATAAAAAATATATTTATTTATATACACATTTTTATATTATTATAATATAAATAAAATTTTTCATTTTTTGTGATTAATTTGGATATTTTTTAATTTAAAACTTTTTGCTAATTTGCAAGTTTTGTGTTCTCGAAAGCATGACAATGGCTTTGTCTAGATTTTCACAGAGTTTATTAACAAAGAGGAATTTTTTCCTCTATTTAATTTCTTTTTTTTTATTGCTATTTGCTAATTTGCATTAATTTTAATTAACTTTCATTTATTTGTCATTCATTTGTAAATATTCAGTTAATATCTTGAAACATTTAATTTACATAAACAAATATGAAAATAAAACTATTATTATTATAATTTTTATTTTTACTATTGTTTATTACTATTTATTGTTATTTAATTCGTTTATTATTATTTGTGCCCTTGGTGGTCGAAAATAAATTTCATAAATCAAGATAGAAGGCCGTTAATTAAATTATTAATTAATTTTAATTTTATTTTATTATTATTATTAATATTATTATTTTTACTTTATTATTATTATTATAAATATTATTATTTTTAAATTGTTATTATTGTTTTTCTATTATTATTATTATTATTAAAAATACTAATTATTATTACTATTTTATTAACACAAATTATTAATTAATTATTTGAAAAATTTTTAATATTTTTAAAATTGCTGAGAGAAATATTGAGGCCTCTAAAAATTATTTTTCTTGTACAAAAATATAAACTGAAGAAAGAAAAAAATTTATTATTTACACTATAAGAAAAAAAAGAGATTTGATAAATTTGATAAATCTGAAAATTAACTATTTTTTATAATTGATAATTATTAATTATTGAAAAATTCAAAATTTTATTAAAGGGTCCACTGGAGGTAGTTTGAGTCCTGTTACGTCCCTTGCGCTCAATTCCTTGACGGGAACTCCCTTAAACGGACTACAGGACACAATAAGCAATGCTTACTCCAGTTTGCAACAATACGCAGGTAATAATTTTTTTTTATCTTCAAAAAAAAAAAAAAAAAAAATTATCAAAATTTCATCCATATCGAATATTCTAAACATTTTTTTCATATTAAAAAAACAAAAGAAACAGTGAATTTAAATTTTATTGATTCAAATTTCGCGCCAATTATTGTGTAAATTATTTTTGGCGGGAAATTTAAAGTCTTACTTATTTCGATAATTATTTTCATTTAAATTTTATTTTTATTAGCTTTTATTTTTGGAAAAATTAAATTAGTAAAATCAAATATTATTTTTTAAAACAGGAATAAACAAAAAACAGAATTTAAACTTTTTTAATTTCAAATTTCGCGCCAATATTGTAGAAAATATAGAAAATATAATTATTTACAGGAAATTTAAAGTCCTTTTTAGTTTAATTTTTTTTTTATTTTAGAAAAAAATTAATTTATTTAAATTATAACATTTTTGATAACAAAATACAAAACAAGAAACAAATTAAAAATTTTTTGTTGATTTTAAATTTCGCGCCAATATTGCATAAAAATATTACTGGCGGGAAATTTAAAGTTTTTTCCGATTATTTTAGAAAAAATTGAAATTGTTTTAATCTGTTTTCCAACTCGAAGAAAAAGAAAAACTCTTCAAATTTTTAAAAATAAAGTATTGAAACAAAAAAAAATAATTATTATGAAAATTAATAAATCTGCGTCTTATAAAGCACTCATTGGAAAGACGACAGTGACTGTGGAAAAGAAAGAATTACATAGTGAGTAATTTATTAGAAGAAAGTTTTTTTTTCGCTCTTTTTGAAATATTTTTGCTAAAATTTGACACCACGAAAAATAGAAAAAAATAAAATAGAAATATTTTAACTAGAAAATAGATAAAAAAAAATGTTTTTTTACTTCTTTTTTAGAAAAAAGAAAAATCAAGCATGTATCTGTAAACAAATTTTTTCTCATTGTATTCGCTTTTTAGAATAGGAAAAAAATTAATAATTTTCAAAACCAAAAAGGAAAATTTATACCACACAAATTTTGCGACTCTTTTTAAAGCTTTACAGACGTTAAAAAATGCATAATTGTTCTAATAATTACAACAGCATGATTAGTTGTAATTTTGTTTATTTAGTATTTGTTCATTTAGTGTTATTTATGTTTAGGATTTATTTAGTACCCGTTTTGCACAAAATGTTTATTTTTAAAGATTATAGGTCATATTATACCGATTAATTAATGAATATAAATTAATTAATTTATTTATTTATTACTAATTGTTTTTAATTTATTATTAACTTTTTATTATTATTAATTATTATTAATTATTATTAATTTATTATTATATTACTTAATAAATTAATAAATAATTTAATTTATTCATTCATTCATGGATCTATTCATTCATTAATAAATTAATTTATTTATTCATTACTAATTAAATACATAAAAATTAATATAGGTTGTTATAACTAAATAACATTATTAAGTTATTATTGTTAATTATTAAAAAAAATTTTTTAATTAATTAGTTTATTCTATTCATTCATTAATAATTAAATACTTCTTTTTGAATAAATGTACATTAATAAATAAACAATTATTTATAAATGAATTTATATTAGTAAATAAATATTTTTTTATTATTAAATATATTAATAACTAAACAATTTGCATATAAATAATTTAATGTGAATTAACAAATAATTGTTTATAATTAATTACATTTGTTTATTAATAATAGAAATATAGTTTATAAATAAATGAAATACGTATTAAATTTACAAAAAAAAAAATTATTTATTTATAAATAAATACAAAACAACAAATAATAAACAAATAATAAACAAATATAAATTTATTAATATATTCGAGGAAAATTGTCATTAGTTTAATATACCTAGTGAATTAGGGGAATTTTGTTTTTCTCTCACATGTGATTTCTCATTGTTTTCAAAAACTAATTTTTCAAATATTAACAATTTTTCGCTTTTTGCAAATTATTGTTTAGGGTTCCCGACATTTACAGCCGCAGCTGTAAATGCGGCTGCAGCGGCCGCACAAAATTCGGCCTTTTCAAGTGCAGGCAAACAAATTGAAGGTCCAGAGGGTGCAAATCTTTTTATCTATCATCTTCCTCAGGAATTCACCGACACTGATCTTGCATCAACTTTCCTCCCATTTGGCAATGTTATATCGGCCCGAGTTTTCATTGACAGAAACACCAAGAGGAGCAAATGTTTCGGTAAACATATTTTATTTTATTATTATTATTATTTTTTTTTTATTTTTTTTTATTTAAAATTTTATTTTTCATTTTCTTTTCTTTTTCTATTTTATTACACTTTTCTTTAAAATAAAAAAAAACTATTTATCTTAAACTTTTCAATTCAAACCCCCCCCCCCCCCCAATCGTAAAATTCAGGCACATTTTTGTTTTTTGTTCAAATAAAAAAAAAAATGATTAAATTTTAAAATTACATTGTTTACCAGATTGAATTTTGAAAATTTGACAAAATATTCATAATCACTGACTTCCAAAACCCCCGAGTCACAAGTTTCGAGGAAATCCGATTGATTTTTAATTTTCATGTCCGCCATGTTGGATGCGCCATTTTGAATTTGCATATAATGACTTGAAGGTGAATATTTACTAATTTTTTTGCTTTTTTTCGTAGGTTTTGTGTCGTACGATAATACAAAGAGTGCACAGGCAGCAATACAAGCGATGCATGGCTTTCCAATTGGTCAAAAACGACTGAAGGTCCAACCAAAGAGACCCAAGGATTCGACAAAACCGTATTAGCCATTCGTCGCAACGAAACTCCAAGGTAGATAATAATAAACATTTTTTCGGTGCGGTAGACAATTTTTTTTTTTTTTTTTTTTTGTTAATTAGGAAATTATTTATTTAGCAATTTATTTACATAGCAATTTATTTATTTGGTACTTTATTTATTTAGAATTTTATTTATTTAGTAATTTATTTATTTAATAATTTATTTATTTAGTAATTTATTTATTTAGTAATTTATTTATTTAGTAATTTATTTATATAACAATTAATTTACAAAGCAATTTATTTATCTAGTAATTTATTTATTTAGTATTTTATTTATTTATTACTTTATTTATTTAGTTATTAATTTTCCAATCTAATATAGTATTCGAGGTGAATAGTATTTTATTGAAAAAATTTTTTTTCTTTTTGGGGAGAAAATAAAAAAAAAAATTTCTTTCTCTCCCTCTCTATAGCTTTATTTATCGTGAATGAGATTATTTTCCTTGGAGCAAATAAGAACCAAGACTGAGTCGTTAATTATACATATATTCTAGTCTCGATTTTTTTTTTAAATAAAAAATTTACTGTGATATTTTTCGAAGTACAAAATATACAATGTAAACTAAAGTCAATTCTTTTTTCTTTGGATCTCAAGATTTTTTGTCCTGTTTCATTTAAGAAAAAAATATTTTCTCTTTATTTTACATTTTCTTCCAACTACAGAAATTTGTATTTTTATTTCAATTTCAAACTTTTTTTCACGTTTTTAAATTTTTTTTATAAAAATATTATAATATATTATTATTATATATTATATTTATAATCCTAATATATAATTTATAAAAATTAATTATTTAATAATATGCAAAAATATAATTTGTTTTTATCTCTTTTTTGTATTAATACATTTTTTCAACCTTTTGTTGAAAAATAATCTATTTTTGTCTCATTAATGAAATAATACATTTTAATTTCCTTCATTTTTCAAATATTATTTTTGTTACTTATTTCTTGCCTTGTTTTAAATTCTCTTTTTTTTGTAATACCTTCACTCAGTAAAAAAAATTTTGTGGCTGTTTTTCAAAATTATTGTCTAGTTATTAAAAAAAAAAAAAAAAAAAAAAAAAAAAAATTATTCAAACTGATAAATATGGTAATTTATTTAATAAACAACAAAATTTTTAGAAACTAAATATTTATTTAGTATTTCAAGAAAATGAGGAGGAAAATTAATAAAAAAAAAGTATTTAAATAAAAAATGTATGAAATTAAATGTAAAAAAATATAAAATAAATAAAAAATTAATTACTAAAAAGAAAAAATATAAAGAAAATTTTAAATACAAAAAAAGAAATAAAAAAATTTTCAAAATGTGAAAAACTACTTTTTTATAATAAAAAAATAGAATAATAATAAAAATATTAAAAAAAATATTAACCACAGAAAGCAATGTACATAACTTTTATTTTTCTCCCCATCAATTCGTCTTTTTTTACATGCGAAAATATAATAAAAAAAAATAATAAATTCTCTTGTTCGTTCGATAAATAATTTGTACCTATATAAAAAAATGAAAAAATATTTTCGGTGCAAAAAAAAAGAAAAACATGGTCTCATTGAAATTATTAGAAAAATTATTTGGAATTTTTTTTTTTAATTCTTTTCTTATACGAAAGGCTATCGATAAAATCAGTTTGGCTGCGTGTGCTTGACACAAAAATGAAGGCTCGAGGATGAGTTTCCGATTGGAAATTCGACTCTCGAACTCTTCGCTCCTATATCGGCTGATTTTTCTCTCCCAATTTTTTTTTCTTTTTATGATCGATACCCTCGTTCATGAATTATACGTTATATACGATGTGTACGCCGCCGTAAATTAATCACATTCTCCATATAAACACAGACACGAATACACACAGGTTTACATTTTTTATTTTTTTTTTATTTTCATGTTATATTGTATAAAATAATGTAATATAGTGTATTTTCTGTTGTAATTTTATACTATAATTATAAGCACTTTATTATTTAATATTATATTATAGTATATTATTATTGTTATTAAAAAAAAAAAAAAAAAAAAAAAAAATCTGAATATTTTATTTATATTATATTATATTATATTATATTATATTACATTATATTATATAATATTAAGTTCGCAGTACATGCTAAATTCATGCAAAAAATAATAATGATAATTATTAACAAAAATAAAAAAAAATTCATAACATAATGTTACCATTTTCCTAAAAAAAACGCGTTATGTCGTCTTAATAATACTAAGTTTATATATTTACATATTATATGGTTAATTTTACAATGTTAAGAAGCTTTTTTAGTTGTTTAAAATACTAACAATTGCAATATATGTCTTTTCGAGAAATCAGCTATTTTAATATTTTATTCATTTCAGCAAATTTTTAATTGTTTATCTCAAAATTAGCAAAAATTTGTTTACACCGTTTCTTTTTTCTTTCTTAAGGAAAACAATAAACATAAATATTGTTTTTTTCAAAACTAATTTACTATTAATATTTTAGGTGAAAAAAAAGTAAAATTTACTATTAAATATTTTCGGTGAAAAAAAAGTAAATTTTACTATTAATGTTTTCGGTGAATAAAAATAAAAACATGGTATCATTGAAATTATTAGAAAAATAATTTCAACTACCAACGCGACTCTACTTATAAATAATATAATAAACAAATTATTTCTAATTTTGAGAAAAATGATTTTTGTACATTTTTTAAATAACTTATTATTGTTTTCAAATATTTAAAATTTGTATTTATTTGTTTATTTAGAATTGTCATTTTTAAATTTTTTGTAAAAGTGTTTTTTCTTGTGCTCCATTTATATATTTTATTACAAAAAAAAAAGGAAAAAGAAATGTTTTTTTGTCAAATTTATTATAAAAAAGCAAAAAAGAAACAAAATAAAGCAAATTATGATTAATGAAATTAATAAAATTAATAAAATTAATAATTAATAATTAAATTAATTAATTTTATTAAAATATTAATTTTTATTTTTAAAGTAAAAGAATTTCATTTCTTTTTTCTTTTAATTATGTGGCTTTAAATTACGTATTATACTATAGTGTCTGGCAAAAAATAAAACCTATAAATAAATAAAATAAAAAACAGTGACACGACATTAGTCACTTTTTGAAAAATATATCGATATCTCGAAAGAACGAACAAATTTTTTTTTTTTGTTATTAAAAAAATATAATTTTTCTCGTAGATAATTGAATTTATTTTTAATTTAATAAAAATTAAAATATTTGAATCGATATAACTGTATATCGATAAATTGCAATTTTTTAACGATTATTTGAATCGATATAACGATATATCGATGACGAATATTTTGTTAAGACACATTTGTATCGATATTTAAATAAATCTATTCGATATTTCAATCGATATATCGATTTTTAAGTCATCATTTTATTTTTAAAAATAAAAATATTGTTTATAATATTTTTCTACTCTTTATTAAAATTAAAAAAAAAAAAAAAAAAAAAAAAAAAAAAAAAAAAAAATTGATTTGAGAATAAATATAAATTTTTGCAGCAAATTCAATCGATTTTTTCAACGATTCCAAAAATCGAGATATCGATTAATTGAAGTATTTATAATAATCGGCTGGAAATTTTAAAAGAAAAAATAATTATTTGTTTGCCAATTTATGAATTAATGTACTAGAAAATTTTTCCCACCTGTTTAAAAACAAAACAAAACAAAACAAAAAATACGTGAAAGAAAAAAAAAATTTTTTTTTTTATTCAAAGTGTGTGGTGGTGACTAACTTGTCCGTGTGTTTTGTTTGTGTGCCAGCAGGTGGCCTGTGACGTTGTGACCGTTTACTCTGGACCGGAGTTGCCGTGCCATGTCTGTCTCAGTCAGTCGATCTGTCAATCACGACTCGATCTCTTTTTTCTTTCTTATTTCTTTTTATTATTTTTTTTCTCTCTTTAAAATCTTTAAAAAAAAAACACTTTACCCCCTTTCCAAAGAAAAAACACACACAATTTACAGTCATTTACACCAAAAAAAAAAATAAAATACACTTTCAAATTTTCTACTCTTCACTCCCTTTCTTTCTTCACCATTTTCTCTTTTCTTCACTCTAAACTTTCCATTATCCCCTCTTTTCTACTTCTCCCCCCTCCCCTTTTTCATTCCTCATAATCGAACCGCGAAATTTAAAAACATAAATTCGAGGTTTAAAATTAAATTATTAACTTTTTTCAAACAAAAAAAATATTGAGCAGATCTTGAGCAAAAAAAAAAATAAAGGCTGTCATAAAATGTAAATAACAGTATAAATAATAATAATAAAAGTAAAAAAAAAAACACACAGTAAAAAAATGGCAAATTTATGCGATTATTATAAATATATGTGTGCCTGTGCTAAAGATCGAATTTTTTTTGTGAAAGAGAAATTGAAATGAAAAAAGAAATAAATACCAAATAGTAAATAATGGAAAAATCGAGAAATAAATTTTTCGAGAAAAACAAAAAGAAAATTTGTTTCAAAATCGAAGGTTTTTCTCAACGTCCCCTCCCCCCACGCCCCAACCCCATTTTCACCGGTTTTTGAATTTAAAAAAATAAAAGAACCGAGTGACTGAATTATTTGTAAAAAAAAAAGAAATATGTTAATTAAGAAAAAATTAATATTAAATTGCGAAATTCGTGGTCGCTGAGCGAAAAGTATGAATTAAAAATGAAAAAAAAGGGGAAAAAATATTAAGAATAATGTCGATTGTACGAGTGATAAACAAGATAACAATTATATTATTATACGAGATTTAAAAAAAAATAATAATAATTAGATATATTAAAAAAAATGTTGACTGAAAATTATTTTTATCGAATGATTATCGCTCGAAAAATCGACAGAAAAAAATTTGATAAGGGAATTCTTTTTTTTGAGGCTAAAAAAAGGTGAAAATCGATTTTTTTTTAATTTTATTAAAAAAAAATTTTGGTCAAAAGAAATTTCGAACTTAAAAAGTTTTTCTCCTTTAAGAAAAA